TGGTGAATTTTCGTTTGTGAAGACGTCGTGTTAGCGCTGTGTGTGTATGACAATTCTCCTCGTGTTTTTGGTTTGTGTTTGGCCTAGTAACTGTGCCACGTGGTGCTGTTGCTAAGGTAACTGGTGTGACTGTTGAAACTGTATATTTGTACTGCTTTGAATCAGACGCTCTGTTGAAATCATGGGTGCTTCTGATTCACAAACAGTCCTTTGTCTTGTATGTGTCAAAGAAAAAAAAAAACCCTTTCTAAGGAATATGCTGTTTGTGATTATGGTGTAACACTGTCCCCCAAAAGATTAAAATACTCTGTATAGCAGAGGACGGCCTCTTCTGGTAACCAGTGTTCCTGTGGATCCTTGATTTAATACAGCAGGTTTACAGTGTTAGAAATAATATGTTGGGGCTATACGAGTAGTTTCTGTATACAGATTGTTGAAACACTGCTAAATGGAACAAACTGTGCTAAGAGAAACAATGGAGTCCATGGTAGCCAGAACTTGTTTGTCCACTAAAACCTTAATTACAACTGCTTTGGACACCTCCCTCCCCCCTCCCTTTGCATCTGATTACCAACCCCTAATTCATCCTCCAGAGCCAGAGTAGCCCAAAACTGGTATAGCTGGTATTTGCACTCCCCCTGCTCTATTGCCCATGCCTACCTACATACCTATCTGTTCTTTTCTTTCAAACTCTTGTATTTCTGTATTTCTGTATTTCTGTACAAACTGGTTATTTGTAATTTGAACTAACTTCTTTTTTTGTAGGAGTGTATTTTAGCATTGAATTTTATTAACAGTTAAATTGTGAGGAGAATTCTTAATAACAGTAACTGAGTCTATTGGATTAGATAATTCTCAGCAATGACATTGTACCATAATCATTGAAATAGCACTAAAACTACTGACAACTAGAGATGTTGCGAACCGTTCGCGAACTTCCCGCGAACGGTTCGCCCCGAACCGTTCGCGGCAGGCTCCGGTCAGCTGACACATCCCGGCCAATCTCCAGCAGACCCTCCCTCCCAGACCCCCCCACCTCCTGGACAGCATCCATGTTGAAGCTGCCTTCAACATGGATGCTGTCCAGGAGGTGGGAGGGTCTGGGAGGGAGGGTCTGCTGGAGATTGGCCGGGATGTGTCAGCTGACCGGAGCTCAACCGCGGCGAGCCGTTTGCGGGAAGTTCGCGAACGGTTCGTGACATCACTACTGACAACTACTGACAATCATTCAGTGACAGTCTAAAATACAACTGGAAGAAATGATCAATGGTATAAGATGCTAGAGTACACCTTTATCCTTTTTTTAGTTACTGGATGGGCCCCTCCCAGCTTTGTTTAAAATATCCCTTTCACTAAAGTACAAACTGAGATGTTTAATTTACCATAGAACTAAAGCTTTACTCAAGCCTAGATATCAGGGTGAACAGTGATTAACATAAGTAATAATAAAATAAGCACATAACTAAAGTTTATCTGCTTCGTTAGATTTTAGGGAGGTACTCTAGGGCCACCTACTGGCCATCTTCGGGAGTTACATTGATATTACATTGCATAATCATCTTTAACTCTATACTGGCATATAACAGACAGAAGTAGGATTGCTTACCCTTTTTTAATATATTTATTTCTATAAGGTTTTATTTTATGTATAAATATATTAAAAGTTAAGTTTTATTATTAGACCTATTTTGATACAATTACCCTCTGGTGACACCTACTGGTAGGTTTTTGGTTTAACACTTTTTAAAAAAAAATGTTTCATCCACCAAATGCTGACTAGTAAACTTAGCTCACCCCCTTCCACCTATCTTACTACTCTCAGACTGAGCAGCCTTGCCAAAGCCCTGTATTAACCCGACAGATGACTGGTACCCTCCAACCCCGACATTACCAAATGCCTCTCCGACTTACACTGGGCCCAATACACGTTGATGAAAATGGCCAAATACAACGGGCAGATCCAGTGTTTGTCTATGTCCCCTTCACCACAACTGATTTATTTAAGTGGAAGACACATAATTCTTCATACACTGATAAGCTTCAAGCCATGACAGATTTGGTTCCCTCTATTATACAAACAGACAAACCCACCTGGGCTGATTGTCAGCAATTATTACTGACCTTTGGAATGTTAATGGCACTGATATGCCCCATTATTGCTGGCATGAAGGCAGGAGGGAAAAAGGCAATTAAC